TCATCTTTGTAAGTGGGAGAACTTGCACTATTGATGGCTGACTAAATACTTTTTTGCCCCACTGTACATCGGAGGCGCCCTCGATTTTACTTTGTAAAAAAGACCTAAATTACATCTTTCCCTCATTTAAAATATTAAACATACAAAAATATAATGTGTTAAAAGTTAATAATGGATTTCCTGAGAAAATTCATGCCTTAAAATCCTTTCTGTTTTGTCAGTCGTCTCTGCCCAATCTGAACCGGAAATGTGATCCTACGCTACTTCCGGGAGCTAACTTTTTCGGCTCTGGGTTTAAACATAAATCTGGTCTTATTGAGTTTTCTTTTTCCTTTCATGTTAACATTATGGTATACAGTGCGTAATCTAAAGAAAGAAACAACTAAAATGCAGATAAACATGGTTTAATCATATTTTGCCGAACTGCTCTGAGCATGCCTGATGACGTCCAAAAAGCAGTTAAACGGAGAAAATCTTAGAAGCATCAAATTGTCTCAGAAAAGTCATTAGGCATTTTTTTAAAGATGTGTATTAGCATTCTTTAGTGAGTTAAGGATAGAAATAAGTAAGGTTTATGGTTTATGGAAACCTGAATGAGTATCTGCTTGCACTTTAGCAAATGAGCCGATGGTACGGATTGTCCTTTCGGGATGGATTGTGCAGTGACGAGCTTCTACTGACGAGCTTCTATTGAACGTCGTCAGCTCTTTATTTCAGCTCTGCAGGCATTGAGCCCAGTCTCTTCATCAGTTCAGCAGCTTTAATGTGGCAAATAAATGCCAAAATGTGTGATTTCGGGACATTTGTTCTGTGTGGTGCCTGCTGCTTGCATGTTCTTATGCTAAAGGAAAATTAGCCCCTTATTGTTTCATTTCCAACTTTGACTTCCCGCTCTAGATGTTAGGAAATCCAAAGAATCCACAGAAAAGCTGTTCCTTTTTATGAGCTGCATGGTTCAAAGCCCTGGGGAAAAAGTAGGGACTTATAATATGGAAAATACGGTAATTACTGTTTTATATTAAACGTTTTGTTTAGCATGCAGGTTATATTAGAAAATATATGTGTGTATATACGTATGTATATGTGTGTGTGTGTATATATATATATGCTTTTGTTTTTAATAAATTTTTACACCGTCTGAAAAAAAAAAGAAACAAACAAAATATACATACATACATATGTGTATGTATGTATATATGTGTATGAATGAATTATATATATATGTATGTATGTAGGTACATGTATGTATGTATCTATATATGTATCTGCATATGTATGTATGTATGTATATATATATATATATATATATATATACACACATGATCCTTCCGTTTTGACCGGATTAAGGAAATAACATTTAAAAAACATCATTTATAATAATTTTACAAGAAATAATATATCAGTTTTATGTCTTGAAGGTTTTAAGGAGTCATCAGAGAGGCGGTTTTCTCTGCCTCCTGGTGATGCTGTGGTGTAAATACTAGTGTTTTCCCACAGGGAACTGTAATTAGGAGAACTCAGTGTAGTTACATTTTCATAGTTTTTTATTTTTATTCCACTCTCCGGGTTAATTCTCTCTACAGAAATGGGAACAAGCAGTTTTTTTTTCTTTTTTTTTTTAATCAGTCCCATTAATTGATTCTCATCTGTGTTATCTTTATAATAACTAAATGTTGTTTTTCTTCATATTTCCAGTGTGTTACTGGAGATGCAGAACCGACTGCGGGATTTTAATTCTTTCTCGGCCGGCTTACTAGCAGACTTGGAAACGAGCGAGCAGCAGCAGAATAAGGTAAAAGACTCAGCCGTGCTCTTCTACATGAAGCTCCAACACTGTCTCCTTAACTAGGAACAAGCAGCACACGTGCTCTCTGATAGTGAATAGTTGGGCATTGTGTTGGTGGTGTTTTGGGTCCCTGAAGATGTTTTGTCTGGTGTTTCCTCCGCAGGCAGTGGACAGGATCCTCAACTCTCCACAGTTTGGTCGAGCTGAGCAGCAACCTGAAATCACACCCAGGGACAAGGACCAGATGGTCTCCAGGTGTTTTTAAGTTTCTGCTTGTTTCATGACATCAGCCGGACCGCTTGGTGCTGTTTGGATCAAGCCCTGTTGAGTTAGGACTCGGTCTAGTTCCTGGAAATGACCTCAAACCCAGATGTTACCATCTGCTCCCCTTGTGCCTTTGGTTAGGCAGTTTCATCTGTAGAAAACGTTCATGGCCGTTGTTTGAACCTTTATTTTGCTGGTTTATCAATTCAAATGAAATAGAATTAGATAAAAGCAGCTCATCTAGAGCTAAATGATGTTTAAGGCTGGAAATTTAGCAAAATAGAGGAAAACAAGCAACACTAAATCCAAAGAGCAGAGCGTAAAACGTGAAGCTTGGCAAGCTAATCTAATTAAAACAGATCAGCTGCAAAAAATTAACCTACAAAAAATTTGACTGCAAATGTGTTGACCTTTTGATAAACTCAAGCCAAAGCAATCTGCACTAGATGCAGTCAAGCAGCTTCTAGCCAAGGAAATTACCTCATTTGGTCGGAATACAAAAAACAAAAAAGGTTTGCCACCGGCAGCTTCTTCCGGATCAAACCACCAGCCTTGGCAGACAGCGGTGCCGCACTAGCTGTGATCGGCTCAGTTATTTTCCCCAGTCCGATTAGATCAGGGATGTCAAACTGGTTCCAGAAAGGGCCGTGTGGCTGCAGGTTTTCTTTCCAACCACTATCTTTGACACCCCTGTATTAAATGAAAAATTCTAATTGTTGTCTATTAGTAGCTAGCTGACGTTTTTTAATCATATCTATTTAACAAGAAAACCTCATCAGCTTCATTTAGCCTGGTAAGGTAATTTCATTGGCTAGATGCTGCTGG